CAAATAGAGAAGTCTGGTCCTCTATCTTCCTGCCTAGGTGCTTCCTACTCTGCCCTTCTGTACTGTGCCATTCTTTGCCCACAGCCTATGCCCCTCCTACAATATCTGTGAAGATTGTGAAGCGGGGCCATATGCCCATGACACTAACCATGTCCTGCTAAAGTTGCGGAGACCTGTTGCGGGTTCCTCTGAACCATTTTCTCACTCAAAGTACTCTACTATTCGTCTTCCTGCTGCTCTGGAACAAGTCAGGTAAAAACATGTACATGGGGATACTTGTTCTCTGATTGGCTTCTTGGTTCTGGTGACAGGGTATGAATCACAAAACTGTAGAGAGTCTCCTTAGTTCTGCTCGTTTTCAATTGATGTGCAATAATGAGGACAATTATCCAAAATTAATGAAAACTATAAAAAGAAATTAAGAAACTAAACTAGAAGTTGACTCTAGTGGAGACTGTAGTTGGCTCCAAATAGCTTCAGAATTTGTGAGGACTTTTTTTTTAAGACTTTCATTTATTATCTCACAGGCTCCAGAAACAGGTTGATAAGAACTTTCTTAAAGCAGAAAAGCAAAGGTTACATGCTGAGAAGAAACAACGTAAAGCAGAGGTCAAGGAACTTAAAAAGCAGCTTAAGCTCCACAGGAAGATTCATCTGTGGAATTCGATCCATGGACTCCAGAGCCCCAAGTCTCCTTTGGGCCGACCTGAGAACTTGCTCCAGGCTAATACCCTGATGTAAGCCCAGGGCTGGGGTGGGAGCCAAGAGTTTAGGTCCAGTTCTCTAAAACTGGAATTCCAGCCAACTTATGTCTTTTTTTTTTATTTCAGCATATTATGGGGGTACGGATGTTTAGGTTACGTCCGTTGCCCTTCCCCCTCTCCCCCCTACTTATGTCTTATTTATTGGTGGTCCCTAATACTCAAACCCTTAAAACTTCCCATTTTCTGATCCTAGCTATATTAAAGGGTGGTTTGCCTTTTGCCTTCTTTAGAAAGATAGAAACCACTAAGGTTCAGAACTGTGGGTTGGACTGGACAGGGTGGCTTTTACGCCTATTATCCTAGCACTCTGGGAGGCCAAGGTGGGAGGATCGCTTGAGCTCAGGAGTTTGAGACCAGCCTCAGCAAGTGCAAGACCCCGTCTCTACTAAAAATAGAAACAAAAATTAGCTGTGGGGTGGCTCACGCTTGTAGTCCCAGCTACTTGGGAGGCTGAAGCAGGAGGACTGCTTGAGCCCAGGAGTTTGAGGTTGCTGTGAGCTAGGCTGATGCCACGGCACTCTAGCCTAGGCAACAGAGAGGACTCTGTCTCCAACAAAGGGAAAAAAAAAGAACTGTGGGTTGGTTGTGACCTCTCATTGGAGGCAGTCTGAATGTGAAGCAAAAGGACCAAATGTTTTAAGAGCCTGACTCTCTAGGTGTTGTATTTATGGGCCCTTTTAATTATCCTCACCATGGCTTTTTAGCTCAAGAGCCAGATCTAGTCTCTGCTTTGTTTTATTATTGTAATTATTATTTTTTAAGTTTATCAGAGAAAATTTATTATTTCTCATACGTGGTCCTAGCTTCTCAAATACTGGTCTTATATTTGCCTCTTGAGCCACAGTGTGGGATATTCAGAAGCCATCACACCCAACAGCAAGTGACTGAGCATCTGAATTTCTTTTCAGGCTCCCTTTGCAACCGTGTGCCCCAGTTATGCCAATGCTCAGTGCAGCATTTGTGGATGAGAATTTGCCCGATGGGACTCACCTTCAGCCAGGAACCAAGTTTATCAAACACTGGAGGATGAAAAATACAGGAAACATAAAGTGGAGTGCAGACACAAAGGTAATTTTTCCCACAGAATATGAAGGTAAGGTGATTCGAGTGGCAGAGTGCTCCACTGACGAGCTGTTTTTCTCTTGCCACTGTTCTTTTCAGCTCAAGTTCATGTGGGGAAACCTGACTTTGGCCTCTACAGAAAAGAAAGATGTTTTGGTTCCCTGCCTGAAGGCCGGCCACGTAGGAGTTGTGTCTGTGGAGTTCATCGCCCCAGCCTTGGAGGGAACATATACGTCCCATTGGCGTCTTTCTCACAAAGGCCAGCAGTTTGGGCCCCGGGTCTGGTGCAGTATCATAGTGGATCCTTTCCCCTCTGAAGAGAGCCCTAACAACATTGAAAAGGCCATGATCGGCTCAAGCAAAGCTGATGATCTCACCTGCGAACAGGAGGTGAGCATTGATAGGCTTTGGCCCAGTATCCCGGGGCATTTACTTGGAGCTGGGGAGAGGGTGACTTAAAACTAATGACCCCACTCATAGCTGGTGATTCTTCTAGAAATCATGAAAGGTTAGCTTCTCCTCTTCCCCCTAGCATAGAGTTCTGGCCTGGCCTATGGAACTGCTGAACTGATAGCTTTGCTCCGGAACGTTCAACTCTCCTGCAGTATCCCTGTGTATGTTTCCTAAATGCTAATGCAGTCTTACTCTGGTTCTTACTGTTTTGATACAATTTCCTTATATGACTGGGACAGAGTAAGTTTACTGCTTAAATCTGTAAGTCTAAAATTATGTCAAAACAAAATTTTTTAAAAACGTAGAGGTACAGCCAGGCCTCG